GGAATCTTCAAATAACTACTTAACAAATCATCTAAATAAGCCGCCAATTGTAAAAGTTGCTCTTTTCGAACTTGACCCTAAAGACTATGCAAGTATGAAGCGGCCCCTCTTCTGCATCACCTGCATCATCCCAAGAACGCAGGAAACTTACCGACTCCAAAACTATTAGGTCAATAAGCATAGAGGGAACTGATTGCGTCTGAGACAATCTGTGATAATGATAACTATAACTTGAAAACAAAACATGCTTCCCTATCACTCACTGCTACAGCTTATTCGCTCTTTGCAGCCTGTTTCTGGCAGGTCAGCACTTCCCTGTGGATTTCAGCCTCGTGTGGGCGGAAAGAACAAGTGCGTTGTTGATTTCACTGATTGGTCACAGTAAAGGCATGAGAAAATTGTAATCTCCGAGTTTGGGTGAACCTGTGAACGGGCGAATGTACCCGTACCCGTTCAGAGTCGTATTCGTTGCTGGTTTTTCCCGATGACATTAAGTTACCGTAGAACATCGCATAGCAGCTGGTTACCCCGAGCGGCTTACCACAACAAGGGCACAAGAAATAGTTCAAACTTTTTTCTGGGATGTTTGGGCCCCCTCTGAACAATATGAATGAATAATTAAGCAGAGGCTTACAGAAATAAAATTGAAGAAAATTTCAAAGCTGTGAAGTTTAACGCACAGTTCACGGTAATTCTGAGATATCTAGCCCAGGTGAGATAATAGAAGTTGTAATGCAGAATAGGGTAGAAATGGCGGAGGAAGCGCGAAAATCGGCGTATTCCGAGAAATTTGAGGCTTCAAAAAAGTACTATGAAAGAGGGTTGTACGAGATAATGTGCCTGTAACCGTCCGAGTCTCTTCAACGTAAGTATACTCCGTGTCCTAAAGGTTAATTGTGAATGGTGTAGACTTAAAAAGGCTATCATAACACGGCCACTATTGGGTGTGTACATCGGTTAAACCAGTTTTGGGAGCCCTTTCGACATTCCGTCGAGGTGGTTTCTCAACCTAACAAAGTTCCACGTATTATGAGGGCTTTAATTAGGGTTTTAGATTCATCATGAAGGAAATTAAGAAAACATTTTTATCGTGAATGTGCCTTCAAGTAAAGTTAGCTCAAGATTGTTATGAACTAATAATGATGTGAAAGTTGAAATAATTCTGGAAAACTTCACATTTCGAAGGAAAAGGCCGGTTGTGATGTGTGAAGTACTCCGCCTCTCTCGCATTGCCACAAATCTTTAGGGTGTCGTAAAGAGAGTCATAAAGTCTGAATGTCGTTGTGCTCGCGATTTCGCAGGTTTTCACTACGTCGAACTGGGGTCACAGTTGCTGGAGGAATTCAGCGATTAATATCTATCTGTAGAACAATTCTTCACTATCTCATCTTCTTTCGTGTGAGGTGGTAGGGATACCAGATCATATTATAGATCCTCATCAGTTCACTTTCCGTCTCTGTCTTAGGGTGCTTAGAAAGAAGCTTGGAGCGCTTATGTGTAACTTCATTGTTTTGCTGTTCTGCTAGTACAATAGCCGATGTAGAGTAGAATAAAATTATTTACGCTTTCTTTGGTGTCCTGATGGCATATAATGTAAGAATTTAATTGTAGTAAATGAGAAAAATAGTATTAACAAAAAATGCCAATAATGCTAATAACATCATCAAATAGTGGCAGACACCCATGAGAAATTAATAAATAATGTAAGAATAAAGTCTTGGGGCGTTGACTGATCCCGTCCGCGGGATGCGCCCGCATTCGACTTCCATTTGGAATCGTAGTCGCGCATGGAATGCGTAGGTACCCTATACAATGGTTTGCGGTGGCCAACAGCTGAAGAAGTCAGTGCGTTTGTCCTCTCAGACGAGTTTGATAGCAACTACTAGAACCCGGGTAATGAAAGGGTTGTTTGGCCCAGTCGTAGGTCGATACGTGATTCGAACCCTTGACCATGTTTGAGTGATAGTGCGAAACTTACTCCCACGCCACCTCCGTCCCCATGTAAAATTAATACCGGCGGTAGTAATTCATGCGAGGCGCAGTCTTCCAGTTGTACGTGCTAACCAATGTATGCGCCACAAACCCTTTTCATACAGCAGCCTTCACATGAAAGGATTGTTTGGAAAGGCTCCTGTTCAGTACTCGAACTCAAATCGTTCCTATCAATCAAATTAATAACTTGACAATAAAGCAACAACTAATAACATTATAAAAACGTTCAAAGGTTGTCTTTGAGGAACCCAACTACAATGCGTACAGCGTTCTGTACAGCTTCTTTACGGAATATTAGTCAAAAAGGTGGTGTGGATAGAACCTGGAGAAGCTGGAAGAAGGGGAGATTAGAAGTGACTGTTCATAGACGATTGTGGCAATGCTCAGCTGGTCTCTTTATCGTAACTATTGACTTCCTCTCCTTCAACTGATACTCTAACTATTCCGTCTTCAACAGCATCAAGTGCGCTGATGTTTTTCATTTTCAGGCATGACCGGTACCACCGATGACCTCTTCCTTGGTGTTGATCTCAGTACTCAACAGGCAAGTGGACCATTATAATTTTATCGATAAGGGGATGATAGATAGCCGCTAATCTGATTTGAGGACGTGTTTGACACCGGGTTATCCGCATCTATGGTGGAACACTGGTCGGAAATAAAATTTCAGGACACTAATATAATTACATAATGATAAGTATTGCTCATCACAAATCATACGGATATGTGAAGCAATGCATTTTGCAGCTAAAAGGGATAGTGCTGAACGGAAAGAACGACGTCGTAATGAGGCATGCAGTAAACTTCTCAAGGGACTTGCCAGAATTCAAGTAAGTTTGTGTCTCAACAGAATAATTAAAATTATGCAGAATTAAGAGAAACAGTTTGGTCCGACCCACAAGTTCTGCCTGCTCGAAAGGCTGCTTTTCGAAATGGTTCACATTTCAGAATTAGGTCGGTAATGAAAAAAACTAGCGAGATAAAATTTTCTCGTCAAAATTTGAATATTCGACCACCGCTATGTGGCGTCTCGCTCCAACTTCTAGGTGGCAAAGTGTTGAAGTGATCATCAAATACGCAAAAGAGAGCTGCTTGTAAAAGTGGGCCAGCCAAAGCGGAGCAGTGATGAGCACGTTAACTAGGTTGGGTATAAATGATGAAGCTTCTCAAAATTAATCTCGCGGTAAATGTTGGAGTAAGTTGTATACAAAGTTTCGAACAAAAAAGAGGGAGTGGTCCGACAAGTGGCGCACTATCCCACACGAAAGGTCCGGGATTCGAATCCGGATCTATATCCGCCTAAGTCAATCAGCCCTTCCATCTTTACCGAGTCGGTAAAGCGGTACCAGACTCGCCTGGGAGAATAAAAGCACTGACTTGTACATAACTGGCCACCGCAATTCATTGTGTACGGATATATAATTCTGAATGGAAGTCGAATACAGGGCGCAACCTCCAGACGGGATTGTTTAAAGTCAAAAGACTTCATCTTCTATTCTTTTTATCAAACAAATAAAAAAGAAGAATCATCGCAGAAGCGAGCAGAAAAGGTTGTTGAGGGAATGAACTATTTATCAGATTACGAACGGTACTGAATACAGCAAAATTATTTCACCTTAACAACTCAATTGTAAGTACAAACCAGTCGATGAACTGTGTAAATGACTGTGAGAAGCTTCCAAAACAAAGTGGGACGGGGCAAGATGAAAACTAGTAAAGTTGGACCCTGTATTGGAGTCATTTCCTGACTTTTACTAAAATTTAAAAACGTCGTTTTGTAACCTACATTTTTTTGAAAATTTTTCTGTGTGTTCCTCTCGAAATGTCTGTCTATCGGATCTCATTTATGGTTGTTCTCAGGACGAGCGACGGTGTGATCAAAACTCCAGATGGTGCCATCGTCTCACCAGTACTGATGTGGGTGAAAGCCGTTGATCTGCTACTAGAGCATATTCGTTCAAATAATTCCATGAAAAATTTTCGCAGCATTGGAGGATGCGCTCAGGTAGGACGCTCTCAGTACAACTGCCCTAATCATTTAATGGTATGCTCGTGTGCAGTTATGGAACGAGGAGCATCCGCAAGGTTTCACTCCGAAACTTCCATTTGGTTCTCTTAAACGCGCTTTCAATTCTTTTGGCGGATAGCTTTTCCTATCACTTCTCTTAATGCTCCGAATATGTATCCTTCTACGATTCCTATGGTTCTGTTGCGAGCCCTTTTGTCTTCCTTATCCCAGTCACTGATTTCTGTAGGTAAAACAGTACCTCATTAAAGGCACTGTTCGCGATAATTCAATGGGCGGGCACGTCAATGACGTGTCCGCCTCTCATTCGACGCCACGTGACGCCACTGTCTGACGTGACATCGAATGAGAGGCGGACACGTCATCGAC